CTCTATCATCAGCATAAGGTGTATGATAAACAACTCTATCATCAGCACAAGGTGTATGATAAACAACTCTATCATCAGCACAAGGTGTATGATAAACAACTCTATCATCAGCACAAGGTGTAATGACGCATCAGTTATATTCTGGCTTACATCAATAATTTAAGTTAAAAAAAGAGTAGGTCCTACCTTGCGGCACACCTTTGCTCACATCCAAACAATGGAGGAGAGAGACCATTAAGTTGCAAACACTTCTTATGATCAGAAAGATGATTTAAAAACTATTAGATTGGTCTGAAAGCCTCTGATATAAGATTATATTATCTATAATATAATGTGCTTTAAGCAAAACTATATAAAAAAAATGCAACACAGCAAGAAACAATTGTGGTTTTTTTTTTGGCATCTTGTTTTGTTGTTTGCATGTTCATAAGATATGGCATTTATTCTAGGGGTGCACCGATCACCGATTTCTAAAAAGTCTGACCTGCCGATTCCGATTTTGGCCGATACCGATTTTGTTTTATAAACGGCATCGTCAGGTGTTATGAGGTCACAATGCACCTTCAATTTTCCAATATTATTTTACTGCAAAACATACCCTTGAACAATATTCTAGAAACAAACTTGTTTTAACTGGGCATGATGTAGTGCTCTGAAATATAAATCAAGTTTAGACAATTGTTGTTAAAACAAACAAAAAAATCAGTAAAAGCGGTTTCTCATGCAAGTATCGACCGATTTTCGATTTTCCAAAATTAAGGAAATCGGGGCCGATAAATCTCAGCTTCCATACAGTAAAATTAGAGACTGGCTTTCTTAAAACTTGCATGGTCAAGAAACTTATCAAGTTTTTTGGTTTAATGGCAGACAACAAAAATAAGCCCTATTCACACAGGATTAGTTTTACCTAGGGACCACCAATGGCTGCTTTTTATGTGGCACATTCGCACAGAATAACCAAAGCCTGAGATTCGGCTGAAATTTACGGACATCTTCCGGATATGATGTTAACATGCTGCGTTGTCATGACTGGGCCGGTCCATATAATGTGCTTAATGTGCGGGCCAGGACGGTCTCAGGCTTTGATGTGGTTTTGCGAATCAGCACAAAAAAACCTAAATAATGCACAATATAAAATTGTGTTAATCTACTTCTTGAGGAGGAGGCAAGTCCGACCGGCTGGTTTAAGAGGTTAAAAAAAAGCCTCGTTAAGCCCAGATGGACAGCTATCACCGACTATGAGTGTGAGCATCCGCCTGTCCGCTGACCCACTGGTTGAAATGGACTTGCGACCTGTCCAGGGTGTCCCCTGCCTCTCGCACAGTAATGGCTGGACATGGGCACCATCGCCCTCCGCTACCCGAAAAGAAAGAAGCGGGTAAATATAATGGATGGATGGACGGGTCAGCTGATCACGCATGCATCTCTGCACTTGCTGTCATCTGCGGTGAAGGAAGCAGCAGCATTTACAAAAGCCAAAGCGAGCAGCACGTTCATTTAAAATAGTTTTGTTCTATATTTTTTCCACATGATTTTGCTTAAACAAAAACAAAAAACACCTAATTACATATTGGAACCCACCCATTTCTATCCAAATCACAGAGATGCCTATTTGCATTGGATTAGTATTATCCAATTCAGAATTGAATCGGAGTTCAGCAAAATATAGTAGGTAATTTGCGGGGGAATTTTTACTTTATAAATTATTGACATGGCCAATTCGCACGGGATTAACAACACAGACAATCTCTGTAATTATTACAAATAGCATGTGGTCGCTAGGTAAAACTAATCCCATGCTAATGGAACTATAGGCTCTAACTAAATAATCTTTGGCTTTGTTGAAGGGAATTTGACTAATCCAATGATCTTTTAAAACCAGATTAATCTAAATTCTGCCAATAGAATACCTCAGATGTGTATGTGTGCAACCAAATCATTTGCTGAGTCAGCAGCATCTCATGGCGAGCAAAGCTATTTAGAGTCACTGCTAACAGTTAAAGATGCCCCCTCTTCACATCTGCATCTTTCTCTTTCACAGAGAGAATTTGGTCCTGATTGTCGTCTGATCGAACGCATCGAGGAGAACAAATACAACACGTACGCTTCAGCTGAATGGAAGACCAAAACTGACAGGCGCATGTTTGTGGGACTGAACGCCAAGGGAAAGCCGATGAAGGGAAAAAGGACACGGAGGAAAAACACAGCCACTCACTTCCTGCCCTTGGATCAGTGATGGGACGTATCAGCCAGGAGATTTCTGCACTTGCAGGGTCTTTCTTTGGAGTTACAGTGATGGCTCCATGGGACAGATCTGAAACTGATCTGTATGATGCACTGAGGAGGCAAAGAAACAAAATCTATAGACATTTAATTATGTTTGAAATAAGACATTTCTATTTTAAAGAAAAAATATATCAGTATACAATGTATATACTATTTTCTGTTCTAAGTTATAAAGTACACTGGCACAGGAAACATGAAAGAGAAACAACTTCTGTGCCAAAATGTGATTTATTAACTCATATTTCTAGATTTTTGAAATGCGTAAGTGAGGGGAGCTACAGCAAAAAGACTAAAGATTATGAAGGTTGTCAAAATGTTATTAAAAGAGGTGAAAAGCAAGAGAAAGAACAGAAAAAGCAGTGAAAATATCAAAAAGATCAAAAAGCACCAACACAAATTCAACACTATCATGTTTTTCTCCAGATTTATTTATTTTATGTAATATTTAATAGAGAAAGAACAAAGGGCAAAGTCTTGTCTTTTTCTACCATTTATGCTTTTCTTTTCGATTACTAATCATTTAAACCTGAATAAATAAAAAGAATATATTTGTGTTTAACTGGTTTGAGTTCAGTTTTTTTATTTTTCTTTCTTTAACACTCCAAATGAAATAATAAAAATAAAGATTTTTTTTTTTTTGTTATATTTTATATATGTTGTGAAGTTCTAGCTAAAATGTCTGAGAACAGTTAGATGTGTGTTTTTGGTAGATATAAAAATCCAAAATAGCTTAAGACAGATGTAATCTCAACAAAAAAAAAATAAAAAAATAATTAAATGTTGGAATAACCGAGGTGATGGATTTGTAATTCACTTACAGAGAATCACATAATTTTAATGCATTTTTCTTCATTTTATAGAGTTAAAATCACAATTGAACACTTTTGGGTTGAAGAAGCTATTTGCTTTACAGCCAGTATCTTACCTGCCAGAGATGATTTTTTTTCATTCAACATTTATTTATAGGCTAATCCTGTTGAGCCTCAGGGACTCTTACAAAAGAGACCTGGAAGATGATGCTCTAAACCAATGGTTCCCAACCCTGGTCCTTGAGGAACACCAGCCTGCATGTTGTAGTTGTTTTCCGGCTCAAACACACCTGATTCAGTGATTTAATTACTTCCTCAAGTTCTGCAGAAGCCTGTTAATCACCCATTTATTAAAATCAGGTGTGTCAGAGCAGAGAAACAACTAAAACATGCAGGGTGGTGTTCCTCAAGGACGAGGGTTGGGAACCCCTGCAAACAACCTCAGATTGAAAAAAAAAGGCTATTTCTGATTGGACTGTTGAGCTTAAGTTTATAGTAAACTTAAAACAAGACCAAAGTAGATATTTGCTCTTTTAAAACTATTCAGGTCTCCATAGTTTACCTGCTGTTCATGTGATAAATATTTTAGAAACTTTTACACTGTGTCACTTTTGTATTAAACAGCTATTTACAACTGACACACAGTGGTTGATTTCATCAGAAATTATCATATATGTATTCAACCAGTGGCTAATTGATGCAAAAGTGTGATGTAAAAGTTTTAAAAAAAGTTACAGTGGTGAAAGCAAACACGATTTTATTGATTCATCAGTTACTCTGAACTAGTAAACTTATCATATACAATATGTTTTTCATAAAGTTATTTTTCACATATTACTATGTAAGTTTGAGTGCATAATTCTCAATCTCTTTCCTTATTTTAAGTCAAAATTTCTTAAATAAAGCGTAAAAATCTTAAAATCAGATTAATGAATGGGGCATAACACTCATTCTAAGGAAATATTTCTTAAGGAAAGCAATATTTGCTTGAAAAAGTGCAATTTTATTTAATTTTGGACAATTTAGTTTAGTTTAAAAGGCACACAATAGTTAGATTTATTTGCTAGTTTTAAGAATTCTAGCCAAGCAACTTTTGCCTACCCCACTGGCAGTTCTTTTTCTTCTAAAAACAAGAAAATTTGGTCACATTTAGGAATATTTGGCTTATTTCAAGTAGTGCTGTTTTTGCAGTGTTTACATGGGTTTGAGTATAAAATATTTTTTCTAATAAAAAATAATTTGATCTAAAGGGTTACAAACTTTTGCATGAATCTGTGAAACCTTTCAGTTGTTTAAAAGCCACATTAATTCATTCTGGGTTTGACCCCACTCGGACTGACTGTTAGCTCAGAACTAATCTCCGTTTGTCCAAACTCTGGTCGTTCAGAAAGCTTTCCACAACAGGTAAGATGCATACTGCTTACAATTTCCCTGCAGAGCCCCAACTTGAAAAAATAAATGTATCCCAATAAGTAGGTGATGCTACTAAAGAGCTCAAGGTACTAATTCTGGCTTTAGAAATGGCAGTTTGACTAAAAGGGTTGTACGTTGGGGTTGTGGTTGTTAGGACTGCCACCTCACAACAAGGTCATGCGTTTTTCTGTGAGGAGTTTGCATGTTCTGTATGTGTGGGTTTTCTCCCAGCCTTCCAGTTTCTTCTCACAGTCCAGAAACTTGCCACTTCTATAGCTCCAAGATTATAAGTTGCTCCTAAGCATGTACAGTTGGTTTATTTTTTGCCACTTGTGTCTTTGTGTTGACGACTTATTCAGGGTGTCACTGCTGGAATAGGCACCAGCCCCCGCCGCATCCCACCTCCTCAACCCTGAACAGGATTTTGTTGGTACAGGAAATGATTAAGTGCGTTTGACTCACCGAAAAGAACAGTTCTGAACCTTCCGAGCACATCTATTAGTCACCGCTGATGGAAAGACGGTACCTGGATTGAGCAAGCGGAGCCGGTGACGATGAGTTTTGCTTCAAATCTAAGAGACACAGAAAACAACATATTAATCCGTCAAAGAATTACTCTCAAGATCAGTAGTGACATTTCATGGCAGACATGAAAACATCAAAATGATCTTGAGTAAACTAAAAGCAGGTGTGAGTTAAGAATCTGTAAAAGATTAGAGCTTAGAAGCAGACAACCTTTCTGATTACTTCAGGGGTTTCCATTTCTCTCCTCGGGGACCTCTCTGGTACAAGTACACATGGCAAACATGACTTCCTTGAGGATAAACACAGTTCTTTATGCGATAACAAGAAAGACAAAACAGGTTTTAGAAATGGCCGACCCACTCACTCTCTCTCACACACACACACACAGATGCACTCGGGCCGAGCGGCTGGGTAGCGTCCTGTGTGCATCAGTGTGGTCCGGCAGCTGGGAAAAGCCTCCTCCTTGACCTGACGTGTCTGAAACCTGTTGCTGTGCCCCCCGAGACAGAAAGACTCATGGAGCGGGGCATATGGTGTAACATAAATATCACTCCTTTGTTTATCACCTGATTCTAATTAACTATGATGTCATGTTTTCTTTCGCTTCTCTCTGCTTCTTCTTAAGGCCTCACTCCGTGTTGTTGCTGTCTGGGTCCAACAGTTTTCTATTTTTCCCCCCCTCGCAGTTTCTGAAACTTTTTTTATTTTTATTTGTCATGTTTCTGTAAAGGTTCAGACAGATTCCAGCTCAGACGGGTTAACACACAGCTCGAGGCTGCGGCTGTTGCAATTTGTTCGTTGCGTACTTCGCTCGCGCCATCTGTTTCTGCGTGACCGTGTGTCCAAGTTAATTTCCACGTATATGATAGAATCCACCAGTGTCCGTCCGTCCTGCTGTGTGCGTTACAAAAAGGCCCCCGATCCCTTTATTGTGCTCAGGAATCCTCGGTGTCTAACGCTCATGTCCAAACGTGAGTAAGTATGATGCATCAGAGGGCGATTCGAATTTCCTTTCATCCTCCCAGGGCATCCAGTCCTTTGTTTATATGATTACTTGGGTGTTCTGTAAACGACATATCAAGTACAATTACTTTGAAATGTGTTCAAGACACTGATCTCCCGCCTCTCTCCCTCCCTCGTAAAGTTCAAGGGCTGGCATTCCTGGTCTGAAATGTCTTTATTATTATGTGGTCCAACTCCAGAAATGTATAATATTCCATTTAAGGTCTTCTTGGCATCTAGAAAACTGGACCAAAACCGTTTAGATATCTGAGATTAACTTTGTTCGCTCTGAGAACCTGGATCGGAATCTTCTTTTACAGTACAACATGTCGAGCTCTTGGACCGGTTTGTTGCGTTTTTATTGCAGCTTTAATGTGACTTAATGCGCTCTTGCCTTTGCCCGTAATCCGTTACAAGGCCGCACATCAAAAGCGGGCCATTCATTCAAGACAGATGTTTCACACTGATTATCGGTGATATCTGAGTTTCAGCTGCACGTCATTCCGTCCGTTTCTGCAGAGCGCCTGACGTCTTACCCAGAGCTGTTTGCTGCGGCAGTTTTTGTGCGTGCGTTTGGGCCTGGTGCGTTTGGGCCTGGTGCGTTTGGGCCTGGTGCGTTTGGGCCTGGTGCGTTTGGTGCTCGGTTTGTTGAGGCGTGTGGCGAGGCTCAGTATGCGGTTTCTGTTTTGACTGCATTACGGTCTATCGGACCTGTGTTGGACCTCAAATGAAACGTACACCGTTGGCTTCACACATTCACAGCTCCTCTGTTTGCTCAGAGAGTCTTGTGGCCACGCTACCTGACCGCAGCAGCAGCTGTGAATATTTTACGTCCCGGTGAGCGCCAGAGAGACCGAGAAAAAGGGGACAGGGAGAGGGGCCGCCAGCTCCGTTGTGGAGAAAGACGCGCAGGTTCGGAGGAAAGGTGAATAATGTAAAGAACCACTGTAATTACAAGGTGGTGAGCTCGAGAAAAACGGGGAGGAGGGGAGTTGTTTGCTGAGCAGTTTGAACGAGATGCCAAAGGGTGAGCCGGTGGGGGGGGGGGGGGGGGG